AACACTGCTCAAAATCTACTGAGGCCTTCATGCAGAGGAACAAGTACAACGTTCTGGAATGGCCATCTCTGTCCCCAGATCTGAATATTATTGAAAATCTGTGGTGTCACTTAAAGAGAGCTGTCCATGCTCAGAAACCATCAAACCTGGATGAACTAGAGATGTTTTGTAAAGAAGAATGTTTTAAAATACCTTCAGCCACAATCCAGACTCTCATTAGAAGCTATAGGAAGTGTTTAGAGAATGTTATTTCTGTGAAAGGAGAAGCTACTAAATATTGAGTGAAGGTTATTTTTTGTGCCCAAATTTATGCACCTGCCTAATTTTGTTTAACCAATTATTGCACACTTTCTGTAAATTATATAAACTTCATTTCACTTCTCAAATATCACTGTTTGTCCCCTATGACATATTTTACAGATTTTCTTATCCAAACAATCAATGATTTATAAAGGTAAATCAGGACAATTCACAAGGCTGCCCAAACGTTTGCACCACACTGTACTGATTTGCTGCTTTTAGCTTTAAGCTGTTGTTTATTTTTTATCCTTTTGGCTCTTATTGCTCAAAAACCTTTAGTTTATTGTTTGTTTTCAGTTCATTTGTTGTGTTTTTAGCCACTTGTTTGGCCATTTTAGTTCCTGTTATTTCCTCTTTAACTTTACCATCTCCTCTCTCGATTATTTAGCCAATTTTTATCAGTGACATCGTATTCAACACTTACTCTGAACTTTTGCAGAAAATGCTACTTTTTATTAGCTTGGATAGTTCTTTATATCTTCATACCACCTCCTGTGGTAGCCATGTGGAGCTGCCTAAACACTTGCTGCTACAAAGCTCCACTTATTTATGCAAAGCTCCTCCCAGAAGCTCAGTCTGATGCTGAGTCCCACAGAGCACCCCTCTCCAGAAGCATTGTTGTGAAAATGTGCTGAAGTGTGAATGTCAGAAACAGTAGGAGGTTCTTAGACAGGCCAATTTCAAGGTGTTTAGATACACTATGATGAAAGGTCACATTTATTTTAGATAAATACAGCATTTTATAACAACTGATGATAACATAGTAACTTGATTGTGATTTAGAATTGAACAATGCGCCTGGAAAATGCATAATACTCCCCTTTAAATATTTGATAAACTCACTTCAGATTCAGACATAAAGTCTTTCACAACTTYGAGCTGGATCAAAACAGTCCTGAACCAAATCTTGGACACCAGTTCTAATCTGCATTAGGTGGTTTTTCCGGCTGAAAAGTCTTCWTAAACAAAACATCTTGAGTGAATATATCTTTGCTCTAAATGAAATCCAGTGTTCAAACAGTGTGATACTAATGAAGGTAAAGGGTATTAGTGTTAATAACAATTTTTATTATTTACAGTTAAAATTTTACAATGTTGTAGCTAAGAATCATTCACATCAGTCTGACATCTCAGTGTTTTTCTTTTACAAGGTTTTATTAAAAAGACTGCACCTACGTCTGTATAACCTTTAACCTTATTATTGGTTGAATATTGTCGAACATCATCATACCATGTTATCGCCAAAATATTCAGCAAACATTTCTTGCATTTTAACTTTTGTTTCCATTTCAGCTTGTTTCTGTTCAGCTCTTTGTTGCAACAGAATTGATAAGTTGTTAAATATTTCCCAGTATTAGTACAGCTGAATGACTGGCTCAGGTTAGCATAGTTTCAGGAACTCATACAGTATTTGATCATTTGGGGGCCTCATGAAGCCCAAACAAAAGAGAAACAAAAGGTCAGCCTTTCTGATGAAATGTGAGTTATTTCCACACATTGTTTGTTTCTTGTTGACACATGCCAGGTGTTTACCACAGGGTTTGTTCAGTAACTTTGCAGTCGTTTCTTTGACTTCTCTTTGCTCTTTGTTATCCATATCTCAGTTCCTTCCTGTGCTGGACTCTGTGCCTGGGTACTAAATGTTCCCTTCCTCTGTTCTTGGACGGACTTTCACTGTGAAGACAAGGGTTTCCAAGCAGAGCCAAACTGACTGTTATTAGCACCACGAGGCTGTTTGGTTGGCTTACAGAACTTTTAATTAAAGTTCCAGGGAATAAACACTGAAACAAACTTTTTATATTAAAGCCATTTTCCTTAATTTTTGTCACGTTTTTCAATTTTACTTTTTACCCTGTAACATTAGATTAGACTTCACAAAATAATTATAATAATTATTATTTTGTGACTTATTATATAAAATTTTTAGGAAAACTGTATTTTTTTATTCTTTTATTTTCTGAAAATTTAATAGTATTTTTGATCAATTTTAGCCAGGATTCAGACCTCATCACAGAACAGAATCAAAATGTATCAAGGTGTTAAAAGAAATCTGGACATTGACTTAGGTCAGGTGTCAGTGCTTTAAGATCTTAGTGCCACATTTGACTCAACAGATCTTAATGTTGAACAGGATGGAAGCCTGATTAGGACTCAGTGGAATAGTTTTAAAGTGGTTCAAGTCCAACTTGGTGGYGCAGGTTTATTTTGTGACTATTAGAAGTTATAAGCCAGAACAAATGGTTTTGACATGTGGGGTTCCTCAAGGGTCAGTTCTTGGCTCACTTTAGTTTTGCCTTTATGTTACTGTTAGATTCTAAAGAAATGTGACGTTGACTCGTCGTTCTGCAGATGACGCACAGCTTTATTTAAACACTGCTGCCACATTCAATTCAATTCAAAAGTAATTTAATAGGTGTGTAAATTAGGTAATGACAACAGTTCAGTGGAATCATGTCACAGTTTAACATAAATTAATAACTTAAATAACATAAATAAATCAAAACTTCCTCCAACTGAATCACAAGACTGAGATAACAGTGTTTGACTCTGAAKAACAAAGAACAGTTGATATAAACATGTTGAGTCTCTGTCTTTAAAAACTAAAGATGAAGTCAGAAATCTTGAAGTACTGAAAGATTTTGATCAGACTTTCAGTAATAAAATCAAATAAATGTCTAAATCAGCTGAGTAACAGCTACATTTAGGAGTTTTACATCCTAAACAGACCAGAATCATGTTTTTATACACATTAGACTGGATAATTGTAACAAACTTCCAACTGGACTCCAAAACCACACAAAACAGTTTCAGCACATTCCTAACGCTGCAGAACTGAGAGCTCCTGGTTGTCACACTGGCTCCCACTAAGCCATAATCAGTCGATTTGGAAGATTTATTGCTGGTACATTCAGTGAATAACTAAATGGTTGTGGACCAAAATATATTAATAAAATGTGAACCTGTCAGGACTCTGAGATCTACAGGCTCAGATCATCAGGAAGCAGCTTTTAGTTATTCTGACACAGAAATTGAATAAATGATCAACAGATCTGTGTATCGTGTGTGAAATGTGTTGTATAGAAATAAAGTTGTCTTGTCTTGTGACTGATGTTAAGGTACTAATGATGGATTAACAGACTAACCTTAAAGTAAATGAGTTTCTTCTACTGAGTAAAAGTTAAACTTTCGGCTTCTTCCTCTCTTATTAAATCTATCTTTTGGTATCAGAGCTCTGACTTGACTCTCTTATCAAAGACAGAATGATCTGCAGCTTAAATGTTTACAGCTTGGATTAGTTCAACTGTTTCATAGCACTCTCTTGCTCTGAACAAGAACATATCTGCAAGTTTAGATGGTGGGCATCAAACCATGAACGTAATGATTCACCTGAAGTTATTTCTGTCAAACATGTTCTGATGGAGCCGCATTTCAGTAAATTCCATATTTCTTTTTAATGCTTTACTCTGTTGTGCATGTGAGTTTGTCACATTTCATTTACTTGAAGCCATTCCACTGATATCACGTTGCCTATCTCTGGTAAATACGGAGCGAGTAGCAGTCAGTCATCCTGCAGTTCATTTATAGAAGAGTTTTATAAAACGTTTTCCTTTAAGGTACGAGAGAAGAGAAGTGTAGAGCATGGGACTATTATCAGATAAAAACACAAGTTCTTTTTAAGAGTGAGTTATTAGACAAATATTTCCCTCTGAAACAGGACCAGGCATGTGACTGACTTGCARCATATTCATCATGTTCACACATGAACATGAACTTTAACACTACAGAGCATTAAGCACAAAACACTCAGACTTCAAAGGCTTCTTTTAGGAGTCGGTGGATTACAACTCTCTTCAAACACATCAGGATGCTGACAGACAGTCGACCCGGATACCACAAAGAATGATGGCCCTGTGGTGGTCTGTGCATAAACCAGCACCGCATAAACCACAACTGGCCCATTTGTAGCATGCCATCTTAGAAACAGTACCATCACTGGCCAGACACACCTGGTTTACAAACCCTGTGCCATGCCAGCAGTCAATCAGCTGTGCAGCTGGACACCATGCAGCTCTGGCCCACAGCTGTCTGGCCTTTGGGAATAAATCTCTCTGTGATCAACAGGAAGAGCTGGATTCTGAAGAATAAGGACGTGTGGTGTTCACTTCCTATCAGCTAAATTTGATCCTTCATTTCTGGGCATATGAAAGGATGTGATCTGTTTCCTCAGGTTACCCTTGAACTTCCCTTGGCTTCTTCTTTAGATTGTTCTTTTTTTTCATGTACAGTGCCCTGATGTATGTTGTGACTTGACGCTATATACATAAACTGAATTGAATTGAACTG